CCCCCCCCCCCCCCCCCCCGGGAGTGATTTCTTGCTTTCTGTCTCTCTGCCTCTCTCTGTCTGTCTGGTGAGCATACACGCTCTATAGCAAAAACCTCTCCAATAAAAGAAAAAAGAAAAAAATGGAAATTAAAGGGAGGCAAAGTGGAAAAAAAATATATATATATATAGGCTAGGTCTAAATGTCTTAAATCCTTCTTTTTTTTCCCTAAAGAACAGAAACATTCTCACCTTCCTTCTCAGGAGTACTACCTAAGAGTTACCACTAGAGGGCAGGCCTATCCTGATAGTCTATTTTTAGAATTATTTTTTAGAATATATTTTTTAAAAATATTATTTTATTTAACTTTAATTAATTATTTATTTGTTCTTTTGTTTGTTGATTTTAATTTGACCAGAGAGTGAGAGAGAGTGAGAAGAAGAGAAAGAGAGAAAGTGAGAAAGCAAGCTGCCAGGTCCAGGACTCGAACTGCAGTCAGCCACTTGGGAGTCCAGCACCATTAACCATCACATCGATTGCCAGCCCCTAGAATTACCATTATTTGTGTAGTCACGTGAATTTAGTAGAAATGATCATCCATCACCACCACTTATAAAGGAAATTAGTTTCTGTCTCGGAACCTGATGTGTTTTATCTTTTGGGTAAGCCCCAAAAGGTCGTATCAAATCCCTTGGCGAGCCAGTGTGGAGAGGAAAAAGAAAACAAAGGAAGCAAATACAAAAAGAGACAGGAGGGACCAGCAGACGGTGCAGTGGTTACGTCGCTGGTTCAAGTCCTGGCCTGTGTGCGTGCGTGCCCAAGATCCCGAGAGGAGAATGGAGAAGAGATTGCAGAGTAGCCATCCCCCAGGGAGTGGTTTCTCGCTGTCTTCCTCTGTCTCGCTGTCTCTCTGGTAAGCACATGCACCCTATAACAAATATCTCTCTTAAAATAATAAAGAAAAAGAACACTTTGTACTAACGCCTTGGTGTGGCAATGGTGCCTCTGAATTGACTGTCCACCAAATCTTTACGAAGTATGGCGCCCTCCCAACACAAGCTGAGCAGGATAAATAATTGTCAAGAAGAAAATGATTATTGGCTTTTGCTTCTCTTTACCCAGGTCAAATGCCAACGGCCCCACTGGCTTTGAGACTCCGGAGGACTGGCTTACTCCCACCACGCCTACCTGACTCTGGGTGTTGAGGACAAAGAGCTTGTCGTCGGGCTCCAGCAGTCTGCAGGCGTAGGCTATGTTAATGGCCGTCTCCTGCTTGTCCCCCGTCAGCATCCAGATCCTGATGCCAGCTTTGTGAAGGGCTTCGATAGACTCAGGGACCCCCTCCTGCAGGCGGTCTTCAATGCCAGTAGCCCCTAAAAATGAACCAAGCATAAGGGGATCTGTCGGAAGCAAAGCCGGCTGAAGCCCACGCGGTCTGACTGAACCGGATCTGCTGGCTCTCCAAGCTCACCCTGACCTCCGCCAGCAGCTCTGCGAACGTCCAGGGATGTGAATGCAGTGTGAAGCCCCGGATCAAAGCCATAGCAAAGAAATATCACGGAAGGAAGCCTCAGGGAGCAGCAAGTTTATCAAAGTCATTCCTTTTCCTGTTGGTTAAATTTCTTATCTGTACATGGAAGGGATTTGATTCAACTATTTATCTAACCTGGCTCGACAACTGTCTAATACTCCCAAGGCTAAGAGCAGGCGTTTAATGAATGCTCTTGTCAGTAAGAAATAATGTCTCTTTGCAATGTTCTTTTGCAAAGTCCAGTTTTCTCTTCTGAAATAACTGGGACAGATTTGTTTTGGAATTAACAATCTTTTCATGGAGGCAGGAGGTGGTATAGTGGTTAAGGTGCTGGATTCCCATATGGCTGACTGCGATCTGAGTCCCGGACCCTGCTGTTTGAAACTCATGCCAGGCACACATGTGTGCGTGCCCAAAATCTTGAGAGGAGAATGTAGGAGAAGGGATTATGGTGTGGCCATCCCCCAGGAGGGGACTTCTCATTTTCTGTTTCTTTGTCTCTCCAGTGAGAGCACACACACACACACTCTATAGCAAAAATCTCTTAAAAAAAAAAAAAAGAGAAAAAAAAAGGCAGTAAGGTACATATACCATATTTTTTCAATACAGATTAATATATTTGTAGGAAAACGTATCAATGTTCACTCTAATAAGGATAATAAAGGTGATAAACAGTCTTATATAAAATCAGGCCTGATTCTGTGGGCAAATGAACTCTGGTACTAAACCCAGCAAGCATTTCTGGTTTTTAGGACTGCAGATAAGGCGCCAGGACTGCCCACTCCGTCGCAGAGAAATTCGTAGGGCAGGTTCTTTACTCTGTTCACTGGAGACTGAGTTAGGGAACGGACTGTCTCCTACGTCGAGGAATGGCAAGCAGAAGCCGTCCCTTGTCTGTTACCTGACATCAGAATCAAGATCCCCACACTCTAAGTCACTGTGCAAACCTGACCGCCTCTGAGCATTACGTAGGAAGCGTGTAAAAATGCTACCCAGCAGACCAGCTGAATGAGAATCCCCGGGGCCAGGATGCAAGCACCTGTATTCATTTATTTAGTTAGTTAGTTAACTTGCCACGGGGCATGTGCACTCACTGAAGCAGAGACAGAGATAGAGAGACAGAGAGGAAAAGTAAGAAAGCAGCCCCTGGGGAGGAGGTCATGCCACCCTCTCTGTTCCCCTCACAGGGCTTGGAGCACATGTGCTGACATGCACCCTGGCTGACCCAGCAGCGATAGAGTTAAAGCTCTCCAGCTGATTCCAAAGCAGGTCAAGCTGCAGAGTAATGTCAGGTGCACGACCTTCAGCTGGAGTCAGGAAGGGGCGAGGAGGAGAGCGTCCATTAGCCCAGGTGCAGGTACAGGTGCAGGGTATGGAGCACGACCCGGAGCCAGGGGCCTGAGCTTCACAGCTGCGTGGCCAGTAATGTGGAAACTGGTAGTCTGTGACCTTGGTTGAGTCAGTCAACTGCTCTGGACCCCAGCTTTCCTCTAAATAAGATGGAAATTCGTGGCAAGGACGAGAAAGGACAACATGTGTTATTAAGTACCTTATTCAATGCCTGGCAAAAAAACTCGAGCTTTCTTCTCTTGAAATGAGATATTTACTTGGCTTTATACTCCATGTAAAGTATTACAGTTTTTGTTTTCCAGAGGTTTTTTTGCTATAGGGTGTGTGTACTCACTAGAGAGACAGAAAGTGAGAAATCCCCCACCCCCACCCCAGGGAGGCTGGTTAGGATGCAATCCCTTCTCCCTTCTTCCCTTAGGATTTTGGGCTTGCATGCACACGCACCTGATGTGAGTTTTAAGTCACTGGGTCCAGGTCTTGAACCACAGCCAACTACGTGGGAGTCCCAGCAACATAACCATGACGCTATCTGCTGGTCCCAAGGGTTAGTTCTAAATGATCTTCTTAAGGATGACTGCCCTGGCGCCACCACAAATGAAATCTAGCGCACTGCAGTGGAGACAGACTGGAAGGACTGGCAGGTGGGCTGCAGTAGGACAGGGCAGGACAGGGCAGGACACGGCAGACAGGATAGACAGGCAGGACAGACAGGGCAGGACAGGCAGGACAGGGCAGGACAGAGCAGGACGGCGGGAAAGGACAGGGCAGGAGAGGGCAGGACAGGGCAGGACAGGGTAGGGCAGAGCAGGACAGGGCAGGACAGAGCAGGACAGGGTAGACAGGCAGGACAGAGCAGGACAGAGCAGGACAGGGTAGACAGGCAGGACAGGACAGGGCAGGATAGGGCAGGACAGGGCAGGACAGGGTAGGGCAGAGCAGGACAGGGCAGGACAGAGCAGGACAGGGTAGACAGGCAGGACAGGGCAGGACAGGGTAGGACAGGGCAGGACAGGGTAGGACAGGACAGGACAGGGTAGGACAGGGCAGGACAGGCAGGACAGGCGGGAACGCAGGTGCTCACTAGTGGAAGGTGAAGTAAAGGCCCCGATGACTGATGGACTTAGACGGCCAGTGTCCCCAGAACTCTCCACTCAGGCGGCGCACAGGAGGGACCTACCAAGTAATGTCAGTTTGTTCTCCAGCCTCCTGGCGGACTCGAACAGCAGCTCCTCCCTCTTGTCAATGCTAGTTTCAGCTAGAAAGTGATCCCTCAGCCACTCTGCATACTCAGCGTCACTCATGACCTGCGAGGAGAACGGGGAGCATGAGGGGGGCCATGAGCGTGTTTTGGGCACTCCTCGTCTGGGCAGTCACGCCCGGCCCTGTCCTCACACCCCCTGGCCATGAGCCTCCCAGACTCCGACAGGCTAGGGAACCACGGACGTGGATGGGCCTGGAGCTCAGCATCTCGGGGCAATTCTTTCATTAAAAAATAATAAGTAATCTATCTCACGGGACCAGGGAGGTGCGGCTCCCACAGCTCCCACTTGGTAGGTACAGGGCGATCCTGACGGCGCAGCTGAGACGAGGTGTCAGGGCAGTGCGGGTCCCAGCTCTGTAGCCAGCAGCGGTCGGGCAGCTGCTGCTGGTTAGTTTCCGTGGGTACTCATAAAGTCAAATTAGAGTGACCATGTGGGTGAAGCAAGAAAGCCTTAGTCCAAAAAAATAAAATAAAATTCCTGGAGAAGCAAGATGTCTTCCTTTGTCTTTAGCAGCCATAAACAAAGAAATTTAGAGCCAGCAGGTGACATGGTGGTTAAGGCACTGGCCTCCCACGGTGCTAACCAGAGTTCGAGTCTCAGATCTGGTGACTTGCTTTCTCATTTTCCCTCTCTCTCTCTCTCTGTCTCTCTCTGGTGAGTATACATAACCTAGAGCACACTTAAAAAATAATAAAATTAAATAAGTAATTTTTGTACATTTTTTAGAGGTTTTTGCCAGAGGGCACATGCATTCACCAGAGAGAGAGAGACAGAGACAGTGAGAGGGAAAGTGAGAAATCACCTCCCAGGGGGAATGGCCACGCCACAATCCCTTCTCCTCTTTTCTCCTCCCAGGATCTTGGGCACACAGGCACATGTGCCTGGTGTCATTTTCAAGCCACCCGGCCCAGGACTCGAACCATAGCTGGCCATGTGGGAGTTCAGCAACATAACCACAACATCACCTGCTGGCCCCCAGATAAATAAATCTTTTTAAAAAGAAGAACAATGGGCCGGCAGGTGGTGTGGTGGTGGTTAAGGGCGCTGGACTCCCACATGGCTGACCGTGGTTCGAGTCCAGGACCTGGAGGTTTGCTTTCTCACTCTCTGTCTGTCTTGCTCTGTACCTATCTGATTAAATGAAAAGAAGTAAATAAATAAATAAAGTGAAATAAAATAATTATAAAAGATAAATAAATAAAAAATAAAAAGACAGAAATCTGTACTTCGGTTTCTATAAAACAGGAAGGTGTGGAGGGGGTGAGGCAGCTCCCCTGTCTGCCCCTTCCTGCCCACGCAGTGATCAGATCAGGGCTAATCTGACAGCGGTTGGCTACACTTTATTCAGGGCAGAATCATTCCTTTGAGAAGGTGAGTGGCTGATCTCCAACTCCCCTACAACCTGGGAAGCAGGCTGAGCCTCCCTGCAGCTGCTGACTGATCTCCTTGGGGCCCACAGAAGGGCCCACCTCTCCTAACACCGTTCCCAGTAACCAGAATTTGGGTAACAAATGAGGGGTTCTGGTAACACCTCGAACCACCTCTCAGAGCGTGTCTTTTCCCCATTATTTGCATTTCTACTTCGGAAGGATGTGCCGTGTCCCGAGACTATCCTCAGTCGAGGATACTCAGCACTTAGGTGACACTGGCAAACACACCTGGGTCTCTAGACAAGGACCAGCACTGAGAAAACATCAGGAAGTGCCAAGTGAAAAGTGCAGGCCGGCCTCTGGCCTCATTCTGCCCAAAGACATTTAAAGCTGTAAGACAGAGAAGCAGCACTTCCCAGGCCCGCAGAGACAGGACGCGGGTCCGGGGCTTTCTGCTCCCAGCCACACCGCTGCCTACACGGAGGCACGCCCAGGTCTGCGGAACATGCGAGAACACCGCCTGCCCCTCGGAGGCTCCCCCTGGCCCCACGCCGGAGGACGGGCTCCAGCGGCCCGCACACAGAGCAAGCGAGGCCCAGGGAACACGCCGGCCAGGACTGGCGGATACACAGACCAGGCAGAACACGCTAGCTGTCACCAGGGGAGGGCAGCGGGACGGCGGCCGCACCTTCTTGGCTATGCACAGGGTGCGCAGTCCGCGCCTGGCGTAGTGGTCCAGGTGCCGCTGGGTCTTCTCCCGTATCGCCAGCTGCCGTTTTTCCACACTGGATCCATCTGAAATGAAGAAAAAGTGCTAACGTGCTAACATCCCCACCAGTTCACACAACGGGACATGCTTTTAAAGAACAATGGTCCGGCAGACCCGACAGCAAGGTGGTTCAGCACCGGGCAGGGGCTGGAGCCCACGTGGGAAACAGCATTTGAGGCTCCCCGTCCCTGTGGCTGGAAAACCATGCCTGGCACACACGTGGAAGGCCAGGGTCCCAGTGGGATGAAGAAACGGAGGGGAAAGCACTGTGGGGTGGCCAGACCCCACTGGAGAGGAGCCCCCTCTCTCTCTCCCTCTCTCTCTCTTCCTCCCTCCCTGTCTCTCTATCTCTCATGCATGCACGTGTGCTCTTTGGCACAGACAAAAATAATCACCGAGTTCACAACTGGCAGAAAGCCTTCTAGCTTTTTCGTTTTCTAAGACTGTTGTCACACGGCACATGTGCTTACGGAGAGGAGAAACAGAGACAGAGGGAGGGAAAGTGCGGGGGATGGCCATACCAGAGTCCCTTCTTCTCCTTTCTCTCCTTGGGATTTTGGGTGCACACGCACACACACACACACAGATTTTCAAGCCAGCGGGTCCAGGACTCAAACTGTGGCCGGCCATGTGAGAGGCCAGCGCCCCAACCACCACGTGCCACCTGCCGGCCCAGGCTTCTGGTATTAATCCCAAATGTGGATCTGTAGAGGAGATCCCTGAGAGAAATCTTGTCCTCGTTCCTGGTGCCTGGGGTAGAAGTGACCGAGAACCTAACGCAAACACTGTTGCCTGTGACAGAGGTCACGGTAACCCCAGCGAGAGGGCGGGGCTTCACTCAGCGCTGTTTGCTGGGCCCATGGGCAAAGACCTTGCGTCCTCCCCAGCGAGTCACCGCTCCTTCCAGGACCCAGCCAGGGAGGGTGCACCCCGACCTGCAGGCTAGGCCTGGAGCCTAGGGAGCTCATGACCCAGCTGCCGCAGGCTCTGGACTCGAACCCACAGCCGGGCAGCAGCGATCCTTGGAAGGGCACTTCCCCTCCTTCACCAAGCATGACCAATCCCGAACAGCTACTTACTGGCCTTTTTCTCTTGGCCAGGGGGCTTCTTTGTGGTGATGGACCCACCTGGAGGCCTCGCCCCGGCCCCGCCCCGCCCCGCCCCGCTCACCCCGCAGGCAGGCACCTACCGGAGAGCAGCCCCATGACCGCGGAGTCGGCGCCTTTGGTGTACACCACCACGCGGTTGGAGAGCGGGTGCCGGACCACCACCGACATCCTCTTCCTCACCGAGTCGAACGGCAGGATGTGCAGCAGCGGGAAGGTCACGGGCCCCAGGGTGGCCAGGTCCACCGTGACCTGCTCGGGGCTGCGGGCCCGCAGGGTGCAGCGGTATGCCCGGGCTGCGTGCACCAGCGCCGCCTCGTCGGGGCTCTCGGCCTCGTAGCACAGCCCGGCGGCCGGGGGTCCAGGCATGGCGCCCCCCGGCAGGCCCGCCTCGGGGTCCATGCAGGCCTCGGGGTCTGTGCAGCGGGCTGGGCTGGAGTCCTGGGCGCCCTCGTCCTCCACGGCCGAGGCCGGCTTGGTCCGGGCGAAGAGGGAGAGTCTGCTGGAGAAGGGGTTGGGGGTCCCTGACGATGGCTCCTTCCCGCAGGCCAGGGACGGGGAACTCGATCTGCGGACCGACAGCCTCTGGAACAGGCTCTTGATCTCCTCCAGGGACTTCATGGGCATGCCGCTCAGGGAGGTGAGCCCCACCTAGGAGAGAGGGGTCAGAGGGAGGACTCCACGCTGTCACCGCACACGCTGTCACCGCAGCCGCAGCTGGGGGCGCTGGAGGGGAGAAGCCACCCTCCCCCAGTGGCCGCAGCCTTCCTGCGCTCGGACCACCTGGGCACCCACGGCCTGGGCACGCGGGTGGAAATAGAAGCAGCCGCCCTGCAAGGGTGTAGCTAAGGGTAGTTCCCGACAGTGTCCAAGCAAGTCTCCCGGAAGAAATCCAAGACTTAGAAAATGCTCCTGGCGCTACCAGAGGGCCAGCCAAAGCCACCTGAGATCCGCACATTGGTAGGTGCGCACCCTGGTAAACCTTCACAAGTATAAGCAAGCTAAACCTTGACAACAGCAAATAGAAACCACAGACTACACAGTACTTAGAAATGCAGTGTACAGTGGCAGCAGGTGGTGTGGTGGCAAAAGGCGCTGCATTCTCCCATGGCCGGCCGTGGTTCAAGTCCCAGGCCCAGCAGCTTGAAAATCACACTAAGCACATGTGCGTGTGTGCCCCAAATCCCTACCGGAGCCTGGAGAAGGGACTGCAGCACGGCCATCACCCTGTGACTGCTTCTCACTTTCCTCCTCTCTGTCTCTCTCCAACCAGCGCACTTGCCCTATGGCAAAAACCTACAGTAATACTAACAAGTCTGTAAAAACTTGAGATAGTATGAAAAATCCAGGAGTAAATGAGTAATAATACATAAAATAAAAACATGGGAAGAGAGGAAGTCCTTTTTTATTATCCAGATTCTATAAAAGGATGTTATTACACTGTTCCTTTTTTTGTTTTAGGTTTTTACCATGGGGCATGTGCACATGCCAGAAAAAGACAGAGGGAAAATGAGAAATCACCCCCTGCAGAGGCAGGCCGCAGCGCAGTCTCGTCTTCCATTCCTTAGGGATTCCGGGTATGTGCGCACCCACGCCTGGCACGGTGTTATTTTCAAGCTGCCGGGTCAGGGGCTCGAACCACAGTCAGCCACGTGGGAGTCCAGCGCCGTAACCACCACGTAACCTGTGGCCCTCTGCCTTTTCTTCTTCACAGATGAGTAAACACAGTAGGTAAGAAAGAGGAGTTCCTGCTACCATCACGTGAACTCGTTTTCATAAAGCCTTTTCTTACTCATTCTCCGATTTCTTCCATTAATAGCGCTCAGCTTTATCAGTGGCTAAACTTAGAATGTGAAGCTCACCATGAAAGACCCCGTGACTGGATCCTAGACTTCTCTCTATCAGAAGTGCCCAGAGAATTAAGTGCTGTTCTCCTGACAATGACTGATTTTATCATGGCCTGAAGGCTTCATGCTGGTTGGCGTGTGATATTATCGGTGCGGCAGAAACGCACACAATCGCGGGGGACCGTTCCGTATTCCACATCAATCCTGACTCGCTTCTTACTGTCTGTCATCACCTTGAACTACAGTGGAACTCCGTGCCCACGGAGACTTTCTTTCAGGCAACAGACTGTGACATTCCTCGGGAATAAGGCAATACTATTTCTTAAACAGAAAACACCAAAAGATGCGTATGCTGGAAACAGATGGACGAGGAGAACTGGTTACGTGGGAGAAGGACGCAGCGATTCCTTCTCTAACTACATATTCACTCTTCAAAGAGCAACTTTCTAAGCAAAGCCCTGTAATAATAGTTTCTCATCAAATGCAGCTTAATTGGAAGTAAATTATTTTTATGTTAAAGTTGACCACCTCTGAAGTTGCCAAAAGAAAATGATCCGGTGGAAAATTAAAATGTAATTGAGTTGTGCTGCAAATTGGATTTTAAGTGGATGTGGGCGAAAGCGGAGAGAGTTAACACGAGAAGCTGGCACAGCGAGTGGGGAATCAGCAGCTTCCCAAACAAGGCTTTTTTCTTTCATTGAAAATGCATTTTCCATTAATTCTAAGTAGACTTTAGAAACCCAGCTTGGGTAAGAATTGCGGAATCTTGGTATATTACGGAGATGTTCAATTCTTGATTGAGTTAAAACTAATCTAATTGGGGTGCCAGCAGGTGGCATGGTGCTTAAAGTGCTGGACTCCCAAATGGTCAACCATGGTTCAAGTCCCAGACCTGGTGGATTGCTTTCCCTTTCCCTCTCTCTCTCTCTCTGTCTGCTGAGCACACATGTCCTATAGCAAATTAAAAATAATAATAAATAAAATTTTAAAAAGACGAATCTGAGTAGTACATGAAAAAGGTCATTAAACATGACGACGAGCCCAGTACTTTATATCTGGATGAAGTACGTGCTGTTGGAGGCCTCCGCGGTCTCCAGGAAAGCTGCAGTGTGGTAAGAAAATGAAAGCAGAATGAAATGCTCTGGGAGGCCAGCAGGTGGCTTAATGGTTAAGGCACTGGACTCCTACATGGTCAACTGCAGTTAGAGCCCCAGTCCCCGCAGCTTGAAAGTCATGCTGGGTACATGTGCATGCATGCCCAAAATCCCGAGAAGAGAATGGAGGATAAGGGATTATGGTGGCCATCCTCCTGGAGCAGGGGCATTCTCACTTTCCCACTCCCTGTCTCTGTCTGTCTCTCTCTAGCAAGTGCACGCACCCTATGGTAAAAACCTAAAAAGATGGAACGAGGAACAGCTCTCATCAGCTACCCTCCTGGAGGCAAGAAGTTGATGGGGCCATGCAGACAACACAAGCTGGTAAAGAGGCTGTCTCCCATGGCCTGGGCTGGCCTGGAAGAAACGGCAAGAAAAGGCCAGAGGTTTACTAACTCTCCTTGTGTCGTTTTACTGGCCTGTAGTCAATTTCTCTGCCATGAGTTTTACTGTTATTACGGTACCCTGTAAGGGTAAAATATCACCCCCAACCATTACAATAAAGCCAATTAGTGATCTTGTAGGAATGTGGTTCCCTAAGAAGAAGGTGGGAAGTTTGAGACTCCCCCACTTGTCTGTCCAAGCCAAAATTAACATATGTTAGGTTGGGGAGGCTTAGGGACTCATCCGTGAGGCACTGATACCCCAAACAAAGACCATGAGCCACCTTTGATCTCAGGACAAGGGAAGATCACTGTTCCCCAAGCCACAGCCATTGTATAGAACAGCACGTAGAGGGTCCCAAGTACACAGTAAACTTTAGGTCAGTCATTTAGCTGCTCGGAAGACCGCATTCCTTTCCCATGTAGGCAATAGGCTCACCCCCATATCTGTAAATTACCCCAAAAGCAATATAGATATTTCACTTTAGTATATATTAACCATGTCTTTACTTAACAAGACAAGATTTCTATCTAGGCCTATGCAACCAGCAATTTTATTGCCCTGGCCCGGGACTGAAGTTACCAAGCTTCCTGCAAGCGCCCTCTTACAAAAGATCCTTCCCAGTAATCAAGATCTAAGAAGATACAACAGACAAATGGACTTCCTCATCCTGAGAACTGTGATTGATTTTACCTGAGCTGACAAGACAAACAGCATGTTTTATAATTATTGCTTCCATGCTTTGTATACCCTGTTCCTTAGAGTAAATCTTTTACTGCCCCTCACCCATTTACTTGCATGTATCACATTTTTAATAAAAAGGCACAATGATTCCTAGCAGTTGTCACTCCTCAGAGAGCGATCTTTGAGGGGTGTCTGGCATAGGACGTGCATGAAAAGGCACTGAGGCCTTGTCTTCTGTTCACCTGCGCCACCTCTATTGAGTCAACCCACCCCCGCCGAGGCTGGACCCCAGCAAGAAGTGTAGCAGCCCCGTTAACTGCCTAGGCTCGAATTCCACTCCCCTGTGACATGTCTGTGACTCAGGGCAAACTGCTTCATCTTATTTGTAGGAGGAGGAGGAGGAGGAGTACAGAAATAGTGCGGAGTTTACGGGGCTCAGAGGGTTATGCATGCCGAGGTGGAAGTCCCTAGATGGCGGAAGGGCAGAGTGGATGCAGAGAGCTGCTTGCAGGGCCTGCTGCATCTACCCTTACGGTCACAACCACCAGCAGTCCAGACACGCGTAAGTCCCAAGTCCCCTCTGGAAGCGACCCAGGTGTGCTGTAGCGACGTTACCTTCTGGCGAGGCTGGTTGGGAGCAGAAACCACGACTGTGTTACAGATGGCTAGAGCAATAAAGAAGTCGACGATGCACAAGGTCTCCCATGGTGCGTTTGGGGTGGTCTCCTCTCGCGGGGTAAACAGCTGAGGTGTGACCTCACTGAACTTGTCTGCAAGCCTGGTGTCTGGTACCACATCTGTCTCCTGAAGAGCCAATAAAACAAGCTGTTGTTACAATAAGTATCCAAATATGAAATTTTAAATCAACGTAAGTCATTTTTATAACCAGATCTAAATGCAGCCAAATATGGTCAATTATATTTTTCTTAAAAAAAAAAAAATCTAGGAGCCAGCAGGTGGCTCAGTGGCTAAGGGCTAGACTCCCACATGGCTGACCGTGAATCGAGCCACGGACCTGGGACTTGAAAATGATGCAGGGGTGTGTGCATGCCCCAGATCCCGAGGAGAACAGAGGAGAGGGGCTGTGCGATGGCCATCTCCCCTAGGGGGATTTCCCCTTCCCCTCTCTCTTTCTCTAATGAGCATACGCGCCCTATAGCAAAACCCTGAAAAAAAAATGGTTAAAAATTAATGAATATGGGTCACAAAAACCGGAATGTACATTATTAATAAAACACCTTGATTATTAACTTCAACTAAATAA